TTTTGGGTGAAGCCTGTATCATCACATGCACTGGACTATACAGCGCAGTAGACGCTTACGGCTGGTCCCCGGGGCCATTCACTTAATTTGGTATTTGTTTATGACTGGCAACGTCTGCCTTATTGGTTTTGTTTCCATGTATTGCGGTCCTCCTGTGCTTACTACACTCAAAGCCGTTAAAGATAGGTTGCCAGGCAACAAAACATACGCCCACAGCAGCTAAATCGTCCGAGCAGTCAACAAGGGTTGTCTTATATTTATTCTTTTGTAGGTAATTAGGGGAATTTAATGGACAATTTCATACAGATGACATTATAATTTTCGTCGTTTGAGGGTTCACAAGGTTCTAAAAACTAAAACAAGGGTCGTAACTCTGGAAGTAATCTACAGAAATTGTTGAAATTCGACAGGCTTATTCGTTTTACTAATTCAAATAATGCATATAAAATTCATACAGATCGGATTATAACTTTTGTCGTTCGAACGTTCACAAGGTTCAACAAAGTAAAAAATGGGCCATACAGTTAACGAGGAGAAAGAAATGTATGGTACACAATGATGACAATACAAATATTATATCAAAATAATTATCCAATTCGGAAATATATTAATAGAAGTAGCATTGGTGGAATATGCAAATCGAATATTGTAATTAATCACAGCTCTAAACTACTTTTGATATCTAGAAATTGTCATGGGTCGGTCACAGGGATTGTATGCCTCCTTTAAGAGCCATCTCTGGTGTTGAAATCGCCCAAAACAACATCACATTACGAAATCTGTGCCTCACTCCACATTAAATCTAATTTACAATTGGAAATATTTAGGAGCGATCATCCATAATAGAATGAAAATTGATGAAACAAGACTATTAGCCAACAAGCGTATCGCATGCATATGTCTGTATGAATGTATTACTTGTGTGTACATGTATGTGTTTTCTATGTTATATGTATTATTAAATGTATACGTGTTGTCCTAAATGGACGTTTTGATACAATTAACATCTTATCTTATCTAGCACAAACATCTTGTAAGTATAAGCTGGTCTTGATAGCATTATACGGAAAATAACCTTTCGATTTCAACTTTTTTCCCCGTAAAGATCCATGTAAAGGAGAACACATAAATGTTTCGAATCGTATATGGACTAATTCATAATTTAATTGTCTGCGTTTTTTTTAAAACCAGAGAGTTATCCAGTTCTATACTTCCATTCTCAATATTTAGAATAAATGGAAAAACTTAACAGTTTTTGCATTTCATTTCCTAGGAATGAGTAATTCGTCGCATAGTTTTTCCGCGTCTCTTTAGGGCAAGCAGAGATAATCAATTTGATGGGTTGATTGGTTAATTGGTCATAATGTGGCCCAAAAAATGACCTTTGTCACCAGTCTTACGCCAAGTTTGTTCAACTTTTGTCGCTCTTAAGTGATATTGTTGGCTTCCTGACTTGGTTAGCTAGCTTTTAGGCTTTGTTTCAGCTATGGACTCTAAATTTTAATTATGGTCACAAATTAGTGCTAATTAATTAGCTCTTAAGTAGCATTAGTACAGCATTTCATGCTCTTAAGCAGTCATTTTGTGCAGTGCAACTCAAAGAAATGGTGTTAGAAAGAAAAATAATCCCGGACAAGACAATTTAATCAAATATACTCAAACGTCATTATGTGACCTAAAATTTGACCTCTGACCCTTGTCACCTTTGAACCACTCTTAAGCAAGGTTTGTTCAACTTTTGTCGCTCTTAAGTAATATGTTTGGTTTCCTGACTTGGTTAGTTAACTTTTAGGCTTTCTATCAATTATGGACTCTAAATTTTAATTATGGTCATTCATTAGTGACCTTTGACCTTTGTCACCTTTGAACGAGTCTTAAGCAAGGTTTGTTCAACTTTTGTCGCTCTTAAGTGATATTTTTGGTTTCATGACTTGGTTAACTAGCTTTTAGGCTTTGTTTCAGTTATGGACTCTAAATTTTAATTACGGTCACTAATTAGTGCTACAGTAGAATCTGCATTAAGCAGCAACACAAGGGAATTTTCACAACTGACCGCTTAACGGGAGTGGCCTCTTAATAAAATCTCGTTGCTTTTTGTGCTGACATAAATTAAATATTACACTTGGATGCATTGGAAGCGGTAAATTTGACCGTCGCTGAATCTTGCGCCGAACGAAAATTCTTTACTCAATTCTTGGACATAACTTAACCGGAGTGGCCTCTTAATAAAATCTTGGTGCTTTTTGTGCTGACATAAATTAAATATTACGCTTGAATGCATTGGAAGCGATAAATTTGACCGTCGCTGAATCATGCGCCGAACGAAAATTCTTTAATCAAATCTCAGACATAACTTCTGTAAACTTGTCATTTTGTACCAATCTTCGATACTACTGTCTACCATTGTGATGCATTCGATAATATTTATCCATTTTTGTGAAGAAAATAGATGAATTAATTTTCTTTCATCAAAAAAAGCACATGAACAAAAAAAAACATCGATAATTTTATCACATATACAGGGGGTGTAACTCTGTTTAACAATAAAGTGGCAATGGACAAGAGATACTAGATGATCGTGACAAAACTTGGTACTTTTATTTTATTCAATCATTATCAAATAATGTGTCGTTACGCATGAAAACAATGATCAGGTTAGTCGTTTAATAAAACAAAAGATTAATTAACAGATAATCACGGGTTGATTGTTATTTTTACATTTCTTTTTATCTGATCAGTGGGGGTCCAGTTAATTAACTACTACTCACGGGATTAGCGGGGGTGTTAAAAAGAACGACAAGATGGTATCATTCAACAATGGCCGTTGAATGGGTGATGTTTTGTTGAATTTATTAGTAAAATAGTGACCGCTGGCCGCGTTAGAGGAGTGACCGTTGAATAAAGAGATGAAACAACAGAATTTCTACGGGGGGGAATTTATCGTGACCGCTTACAAGGAGATGTCGCTGAATAGGAGCGGCTGCTCATACAGATTCTACTGTAATTAATTTAGCTCTTAAGTAGCATTAGCACAACCTTGTATGCTCTGAAGTCATGCATTCTGTTTCTTAGTGTTAGTGTGAAACGCTTGCAAACAAATTGTAGATGGACATTGAATTTTAACTCCCATTAAATATGGGAGGGTTAGGGGGAGCACTCCCAGGTATATGCACAGGTTACAAAACTTAAGACTTGGCTTTCCAAAATGATCTAGGGGTAAAATATGTGTTATAGACCTCAAACCTTTTGGACTCAATATTTTGATTAAATCTCACTGGGCTACCGGACTATTACTTTTTATGTAATTAAAATATATTTTACTCGATGGCTTAAATTTGTGTCCTGTTCTTCGATATCTCTGCCAGTTTAACTGTAATCCCGCCCATTAATGCTGTCACTATAAAAGACAATACAAATGGCGTATGGTATACTGAGCGTTTGCTTAATGGATGTTACCTTTCTAAAAGCCAATGAAAAGGCTTGTCTGTCGTAAGCCCCGCCTTTTCGTCAACTTAACGGACAACACCATTGACGAGACACTGTTTGGATTACCGATAATGGCTAACAGTACCTGTACATATTAACGATAATTTTGCAGATATTTTAAATACCCCTAACACTAAACCGCTATCGGCCCATATTGTTAGCACTGTCGTTTATGATTAACGGTATGCGGAATACCGGTAGCGGTATGTCAAATGGCCGCCATCTTTATTGCACGAAAAATGTTGACATCATCAACTTCAGTCTTCGTTGTTGACACAGGGAAAAGCCTAGATTTGCTTAATACTATGTATTAGGCACACCCCTTCTGTAAATAAAATATCTGGTAAAAGAAAGTGCACCTAATAGTAATGCAGTGCCATAAGAGAGGAAAGCCCAAGAAAACGTTTACCAGAAATATTTCATGAATTAGGCATTCTGTTTTTATATGCCCACAGACGGAGGGACGAGGGACGGACAGACAGATGGACGGACGGACAGATGGACGGACCCATTTTAATAGTCCCCTGCTTTCTTCGAAAGGCGGGGGACAAAAATGACAAAAACTGTTTATTTATGAATCTACATAATACAGGAAAAATATGTCGTCCAAGCATTATGTTCAAATGCTTGGTTATAATAAGCTAAAAACAAAAGCAATTTTTCATACAATCTGGGGCCATAATCCAGAAAGTTATGGCCGGAAATGCGCAAATATCGATAGGGACTGAGATATTTGGAATATAAAGATATATTTTAAGTTTCATCAAAAACAGATAAAAATTGGGACCTCTAGACCTTGATATTACATACTTTAACACCATTTGCGTACAGGGAACGCCCATTTTGGCTGTCAGTTTCAGTCCGATTTTCACGAAAATTTGAACTCAACCACCATTATGGTGTAACGGTGATATATTCGAACATTTTTTTTAAATCAGATAAAAATTGTAATCTGTAGAGGGACCACAAGCTAAAAATGCAATTTTGCGTACAATCAGGGGTCATAATCCAGGAAGTTATGGTCCGATATGCGCGAATATCAAAAGAAACCGAGATCTGTTGGGTTATAAACATTTCAAGTTTCATTAAAATCGGATAAAAATTGTGACCTCTAGAGTGTCCACATGCGAAAAACGTGATCTTTCGTAAAATCAGGGGCCATAATCCATGAAGTTATGGTCTGATACATGCCAATATTGAACGCAACCAAGATCTTTTGGAGATAAACCTATATTTCAATAAAAATTGTGACCTGTAGAGTGTCCACAAACAAATTGTGGACGGACGGACTGACAGGGGCGACCACAATATACGTCCACATAAAAATGTGGGCGTATAAAAAAAAATATGGCTGGCATTTGTCCTGCTTGTATACCACATCATTTACTTAAACTGTATTAGTGGTTGATAAAGACTAGTTGACTCTTAGTCAAAACAGGGATTAGTTACAAACAGTCAACAGTATTTGTAGAGGCTTGTTATGATATATGAGATAGGTTAAAAGGAGAACTTACACAAAGGCATATCCACTGTTTGTTATAAGAAATAATTTTTTTCCTGAGAGTCGTAGCCTTTCTAATAAAAACTTGGTTTTATCACATTTCTGTAAAAATCTATCTGAAATACAAATATGGTCATTTATCATATGAATATATAATATAGGGTACACACAATTATAGCATGGTTTATTTGTTAAAGGCCTGTTAATACAGTATGAACAATATTTATTACTTATGTTTTAAGCTATGGCATATTAAATATGTGTCCGTATATACCAAAAATAAATGACATAAAACAGATGAATAATACAACGTAGATTTGAATTACAGAAAGTCTTCAAGTATATGCATAAATATGGTTCCCTTTTGTCTAAATCCCATTTATAACTGTTTGATTTGATCTCCTTTTGCAGAGCAAAGACTGTTTATCTTGAATGATACCGAGAAATCACTTAAAGCTATTACAATCAGACATAAAGGGGGTGTGGGGCATTTTGTATAAAGAGATTGTTTGGCATGTATTTCAGTAAATTTCACTATATTATTTGTTATGTATTCTATTCACACCGACATGTAAAATTGCTCGAAAGAATTAGGCCACTGTCTTTATAGGAATATCTATTTAGGTAATAATATTTTATTGCTGCAGTTACCTATTTCGACATATTCACTATATTTTAAAGTCATAGTTTTAAACTTATATAGCTTCATTATTCTATACTGAGTTCCACGTCATGAATTGTTTTAAAAAGAAACTATTTCAGAACAAGAGTAACTTCTAATACACATTTGATGTAATTAAAATATCTATAGCTTACGTACATAATCCCTTGAGGCGTTTCTGTCGCCGACAAATTACAGTTTTTAAATAGGATACACAACACATCGTTATTAACTTACAGAGTCATGACGAATTTTTTATTTTATTAAACCAAAGTCGTCGTATAATAAAACAGTGAATGTATTGGGAATAATATTATTGTTCTGTTCTGATTATAATTCTAAATGTACCTTTGGTTTATAATATACACATTATATAGTTAGAAATGTTGCCCCTAAATAAAGTCTGGCAGCAGTTATATAACATCTAGGTCAACGTTGTTACAAGTTGATGATCAGCGAAGTTCTGGTGGGTGTTTGGTGATTATAATTAGAAATGTAAATTACTACTAGAAGTGAATTGGAAATTCCTGTTAATAATTTAACAAATCCAAGAAGAACAACCAAACAACAAATAATCTGTTAATATTATTTGAAAAGACATTAAATTTTCCAATAAGAGAATTTTTTTTTTTGGAGGGGGGGGGGAATATGCTATAGAAAAATATCATAGTCCTATGATTTAGCATCAGTCCACATACGCCATGATAATGTCGGCATAGTAGCACATGCATCTCTCCTTTTCAATGTCATCACGTATTTCTTTGCCTTATATTTCTTTGAATAATTTGAATAACAACTTGATAACGTTTCCCCGTCTTTGCCTTGCCCAGTGTTAAAATCCACCCATTGACTGCCTTGCCCAGTGTTAAAATCCACCCATTGACTATGTTTCTTTTAAAACCCCATAAAATTCCACAAACTATCATTATTGGAGCAAAGTTATATGCGTGTAGCAGCGAATGTTTTCGCTAATACCAATTGCCATTTCGATGAAAAATAAAACACATAATTCATACGTTACGATTTAATTAAAACATTTAATTGTGAACGCATATAAACATAAATATGTGATAACAAATAATGGTATTGCTTATACTCTTTGTCTTGTCTAGTTCATTTCTTTGTTTGAACATTTCTCTGTTTACAATAATATAATGGCTTGGACAGTTTTTTCGTTTCGGATACTAACCTAAATTTCCTATGAGAAAAAAATGAAATGTATATATATTATTAGAATATCAAGCTTTATTTAAATGAGATGCTCAAAAAGTGAACCATACATTTATCCATTGCAATAAGATCAAAATTGAATATACCACAGCATTCACCCACATTACAAAATTGTCCTTTTTGTTGTACTTATTGGAATAAACTGTAACAATGGCCAAATTCCAACCAACTTTATCAGCTAATCCATTTGAGCACGAGCTGTGCCTCGCCTCAAACATCAAAGAGCAGAACTAACTGTGTGTCGCCTCTCAACATCAAAAGATTAGTTTCGTGTGAAATGCGTGCACGAACTGACAATATAAATTGTAAAATAAAGGCTTGATTCACAATCACAGAACCTGTGGTTTCTTATTACCTTGGAGTAAAATAATAAAGCTATTTCATACAATCGAAAACAAGCGGCTATATGAACAAGCGTCTCAATATTAGGTCATATATCAGTATTTTGCTTTTAAAGACGAGCTAGTTACAAAGAGTTTGGTTGAATCTGAATAATGTTCGGCAATGGGCAATATCACCTTGGGCTGTGTTGAATTGGAACTATGTTTCTTGTCACTACTCTCGGGACAATCCAATGAGGGTGTGAGGCAAACACAACACAAAGCTTATTTTTCAACACAAAGTGTTAAACCAACACAAACCACCATTTTCGTTCTTATTCTACTGCGAAAAGGGGTTAATTCATATTCCCAGGTATTACATGGCAAACTTATCATTTGAATGAATGAAATAATGAGGTCAAATGCAAAGGTTGTCTTAATACTTTCAAAAACTTGAATTTCATCACCAAATAACAGCTGGGTTTGACCAATGTTCCCTACTATAATAAGAAAACAACTGTAATTTTTTGTTTTTATTCAACAATTGGGATACAATATTCAACATGTTTTACTTGGCACAACCAGGCCCAGGTTTCACAAAACATTCTCAGTCTTAGTGAAGATTTTACTCAAAATTGTTCACATTTTTATAAAACTTTTGTCTTTTTAATGTATGAACATATACAGCAATTAAAAAAAAATATGTGCCGAGGTTTGTTTCTGAATCATAAATGCTTTGTGAAACTGCAGGCAGAAATTTCTTGTAGCATAATAATTTAATTAAACTTAATCAAAACTTGACATTCTGTTGATTTACAGATTATAGAAAGAGAGAGGCTTATTTTTCATAAACCACAACTTTTAACTGAAGATTAAAACATTATAATTGTCAAAACAATACAACGATAAAGGTTTTACAGACCACGATCATACATCTAATCATTAACGCGTTTCGGCAGGTCTTGTTCTAAATCGTTTAGTACATGATTCACATACAGGATGTTCATCACCCTCACAAAGTTCTAGAGAATCTCCATAAACGGAGCAACAAGGAGGAAAATTGCGCCTTTTACTGTAGAATAATTGTCAAAACAACAATACAACGATAAAGGTTTTAAGGACCACGATCATACATCTAACCATTAACGCGTTTTGGCACCTCGTGTTCTAAATCGTTTTAAATTAATACATGATTCACATACAGGATGTCCATCACCCTCGCAAAGTTGCAGAGAATCTCCACAAACGTAGCAACAAGGAGGAAAATTGCGCCTTTTACTGTAATAATGTATGCAAATGTCATCATCACAAGATACTTCATCTTCACATAATAACAAATTTACGAAAGCAGGACTACCACAACTGTATAGAATATCTTCGGTTGTCTTTTCTAACTGTAAAGATATAAAAAAAATAAAACAATCAGGTATAGTATTTTCTTGCATGGCTTAACTTTAATTTGTGATACATTAAATGCAACATTAAAAATGTTTTTAAATTATTAAATACTGTACCTACTTAAAATTCAATATTATTAAAACTAAAATGGAAATTATCAAAAGACAAGATATTTAATATACACATCAGTTGTAAAAATTGTTGACCCCAATCAACAGAGTGACACTAGATGCTCAGGAAAGGTGAACAGATACTGCTTTAACATTCCTACACACAGGGTTAATTTTGGTCATCGAGAATATCAGAAGCCATTTGAGAGGTTCATTTATTTACATATATATATGTGACGGTCCAGTTCGAAACCGACCAGAAGTCGGACAGGCGTATTTTGAGCTATAGCCAAAAATGCATTGACTGGGTGAAAATAATCTATTTTTAGATTTATGATTCAAACGCTTGAAAAATGTATTAAGATTACTTCCTCGTTGGAATTAATGTAAAGTTTTTATCGTAAATACCTCAAAACTAGCTTTTATTGAGAGGGTGCAGCTAAATTCACAAGAAAAATGTCTTAAAACAAGTGAAAATTAACAAAAAATAATCAACTGCTAACAGTAGTAACGGGGTTTTCCCCCGTTGTTACTGGTACCAATCGAAAGCGTGAGAGTCTCTGCAGCCGATAATTTATTTGAAATCTACGTCACTACGTCAGAAGTCGCAATACAACCCATACCTTCGTAACAAAAAACACACTTGTTGCTAGGCTGACTCTGAAAGTCCGCCTCTGATTGGTTGAAATCACTCTGCGCATGCTCAGTTTGAAATTTCCACTCTACCTGCTTTGTTTTCAACATGGATGCAGAAATTGCCAAATTACTAAATCTAAACTCAAATGATTCCAATCATTTGTTCGAATTAGTGAATGAATTCTTTGGGGAATCGTGGGGGGATGAGCGTGAAGCTATTGAGCACGACTCAGACTCAGAGGATGAAGAATTCGATCAGACGGCAGACACTTGCGATAATGATACATTATTATACACAGGATATTCCGAAGATACTATCGACCGGGTCGAGTTGGAAAAGGTCACTAAATATATAGGTGAGTTGGTTTTTATAGTATGTTGTCTGTGGACGTCTCTGCCGTTTTTTTAAATAAAAATTCTATTCCCAAAATTCACAATTAGCGCTCAGTCTGCATGCACAATAAACGTAAACAAACCACTGGAGATTCTGGCACGTCAGGCCTTAGGCCTATCAAGCAAGGGTAGGCCAAATCATACTAATGTTTCACATACGAGTAACAGTGCACTTTCGTCAACATGCCATTTCCACCTGTTGGACTGAACAAAATATGTCTCAATATTTCTACTTTTCAAATCACTGCTTTGTCTTGTATTGGAGATGTTGAAATAAAAACTGGTTCAAATGAACCAAGGGCAAGAACAAAACTGGGAATAATACTCAAGTTAGTCCTATATTTATTTAGCAACTAATTATTTTACAT